TTCAATGGTATAAATTAGTACAAATTCAATTGTGTTAATTTTTGCCCTTGTGTTCTTTTTTTTTTATAGTCCCGCCAGCTTAAATATTAAATTAGCAGCGCCATTGTCTTCTTGGAAATGACACATAATATAGAATTGTTTTTGGTAGTACATAATAGTACAAATTCAATCCTATTGATTTCTTATATTATTTATCTTTCTTTCCTTTATTTTGAATTGATCCTGTCAGCTTAATATTAAGCTAGCACCGCCAAGATTTTTTTTTCGAAATAGCACACAACACAAAATTATCATTAATGGTACAATTTAGTACAAAATGAGTACTAAAAATTCCGATAAGTCCAATTTGATTCTGCTGATTTGGTCCTGCTAGCTTTAGAGCTCAAAACAAAATTACATATAAAAAACGGTCAATGATCGAGCTCAATAAAGGAATTATAAATAAAATTTTGTACATTTATAAGTTCAATCATTGCAATTTATTTTATAAACCACATTTTGAACTGAAATTTTGTTTAATTTTTCTTTGTGTACCCTAATGAAAGAGCTCAATTTATTCAAGCATCTATAGCCAATTGTGAAGATAGATTTATTAAAAAATGAAATGATCGAATTAGAAACTTTAGATATAAATGGTAATACAAATTTCTTTTGTTAATAACTTTCAAACTTCTTTTGTTAATAACTTTTTAACGAACAACAAGCGACGGTTAAAACTTGTTGGAAGTTATTCAGGGTCACGACCTTGACAACATATGTATCAAGGTCAAGATCACTGGGGCTGAATCCCCTTTTGTCAATATTTATCGAATTTTTTTATAGGATTGAAAACCGAATTCGATATAAAAATGCCATATCGATTTAAAATCGTTTTTCATTGAACAGAACTAGTGTGCACTCAGTGTACTTTAAAGATGTTGCGACAAAAATTGTTTAGTTTAACGCTATTTCAAAAAAAATTGTTTTAAAACAAATTTTTACAAATTTTTATATATCGCCATCGATTTACTTCATATTTTTTTTACACGTGTACATATGTACACAACATACACGTGTTCTTTCATTGCAGGTTTAGGATTAGGTTAGAGACGCGTTAAGATCAGAGATACAATACATTTCTCTCTCTGTTATAGATTTTTACGGAAAGTACTACCTTGGAGTAGACAAAAGTCGGCTCAAATCTGCTCGTGTCGCGACTCTTATTAGAGGGTCTTTAATTTATGCAGCTTATGTCATTTTGTGTATGATGGCCCTTAAAGCAGGGAGCACAGACTCTTGCATAACGCATAACA